CGGCCGCCGGCTACGAGGCGCTGCTGGCTCCGCCGCTGCGCCCCCCGCGCGCCCACCTGAGCCTGCACGAAGCCGGCCCGCACCTCCGCCTGCCCCGGGACCCGCTGGCCTTCGAGCGCTTCTCGGCCGCCGCCCCGGACTTCCAGCCGCTGCTGGACAACGGCGAGCCGTGCATCGAGGTGGAGTGCGGCGCCAACCGCGCGCTGCTCTACGTGCGCAAACTGTGCCAGGGCAGCAAGGGCCCCTCCATCCGCCACCGCGGCGAGTGGCTCACGCCCAACGAGTTCCAGTTCGTCAGCGGCCGCGAGACGGCCAAGGACTGGAAGCGCAGCATTCGCCACAAAGGTGCGGCCGCAGGCCCGGGCCGGAGGGGGCGCTGCAGCTCCAGGGCTGCCAGGGAGATACCCCCGCAGGGTCGCCTCGGTCTCCAGCCCCGGCCTCCCACGTACCCCCAGCGCGGGCCACGGCTGGGCACGAGCGCGCCGCTCCCTCCGCTCGGCAGGTCTTTGCGGGACTCCTGGTCCTGGAGCCCAGGAAGTTTGGGGGAACTCGGGAGAGCAGGCAGGAGGCCGGCGGGGCGACCTCCCCTGCCCGGACGCGGGGCCGCTGGGTCGCACGGAGAAGGGGCCCAGGGCGGCTCGTTTGGGCGCCTGCGGGAGCCTGGCTGAGAGGGTGCGACGTGGGGACGCCTGAGCCGAGACATTGGCGAGGAGCGGGGAGCGGGGGCAGGGGACAGTGGGGGACCCGGGAGCGTGCGGCGCGGGGTCCCGACGGCGCCGCTCACCTGCTCCTGGGCTCGGCGTTCTCAGCCCGGCTCACGCAGGGCCGGCGTGGAGGGGGCGGAGCGCGGGAGCAGGGCTGCCGTGGGCGGGCAGGAGGCGCCCTTGGTCTGGGAAGGGCGCCCGCCCCGACTTCACCTGCGCGTCCGCGGGGCTGGGGCGGAGGCTGGCTCGGAAGGTGCCCGCGTGCGCCGGTGTCCCCGCGCCGGTCCCGGTCCCTCACGCCTCTGCCGCTGCCCTCCTCGCAGGGAAAAGTCTGAAGACGCTTATGTCCAAGGGGATTCTGCAGGTGCACCCGCCGATCTGCGACTGTCCGGGCTGTCGAATATCCTCCCCCGTGGTGAGACGTGGGGGATAACTTGGGGCTTGGGGGTCCCGTCCTCCCCTGTGGCGCCTGTACCTGCGTTTTCTGGGATTGGGAGTCCTAACTGCAACCCTGCCGGTGCGCTGGAATGAGCCTCCCAAGAGCACATGGGGGGGGTGCTCTGAGCTAAGGGGTGGGAATCCTGGGGCCCCTGGATCCCTATCCTGCCACCCCGCGCCTTGGAGCAGCATCCTTCATGTCCTGGGAACAGCCCAGGGTTCGAGGGTCTTCTCCCTGGATACTGTCATTCAACTTGGGCCTGGAGGCTCTGCCCTGTTACAGGTCTGGGGTCACCGAGTCTCTGGCCCAGCTGGGAGAGGTGCTTCTTCTGGGGTGTGACAGTGTTGGCTGGCCTGGATGTGCGTTCTGGGGAGGTCACAAGCTCAGGTGGAGTGACGTGTGTCTGAGGTGCCGAGGGCTGGAGCCCTTCCTGCTAAGGGCCTGGACATCCAAGAGTGTCTTGGGAACACAGCCAAGGGGGGAGCAGGGTCTTTGCAAAGTGTCCAGAGGACAGGAGCTGGAGGCTGGTTCCAGGCCCGACCGTAGGTAGACATGTGTCAATGTCCTCATTGGCTTGGGGGTCCAGGAGAAATTGGGGTGCTGGGTGCTGCCTTCCCAGATCAAGTACGCATGTCCCCAGGCAGCAAAGGTGGAAGATTGATCTGAAAAGGAAACTGCCTTCTGAGAGGGACCAGTGTGGAGCCCTCGGGAGAGAGCCAATTCGCACCACGGCTGCTTGGGAGGTGGGGACTTTCATTCCTGGTGCCACCCTCTTGCTGCAAGGACCTTCTTCCAGGAAAGGGGTAGGAGAGGCAGGGGTGCAAAGTGGGCCTGAGAGGACCCAGGTTACCTGCCTGAGGCTTGTTTACTTCGGACTGACAGTAGGGTGGGGGTGGGGATGTCCTGGGCTCCTTGTAGGTCCTGAGGGCAGGTGTCCCAGTCAGGCTGTGAAGCCACAGACACTCCTGTAAAGATAGACAGGAGCTCAGACACACACCCATGTCGGCAGGGGAGGGGGTACAACCACGCCTCACCCGTGTGCCCACTCCACACACTATCTGGCACGGGCCAACAGCCTCAGGTCTCCACGCACACTTGAGTTCACATGAGCTCATGACACACACAGGCACACCTGTGCACACACGCTCTCCAGACAAGTGTGCACAGTCAGGTGTGCACAGAGCCTGCCTCCTGCCCACTGTCACACCTGCCTGGGCAAGAGGCCTCGTTCCCACTCCACTTCTGCGCCCTTTCTCAGAGGTGCTGAGAGGGGTCTTCTGGGTACCCCCAGGCTTGCCTGGGATTTGTTTAGGTGGGAGGGGCCCTGCAGGTCCCAGCGTCAATACCCCTAGGACATTGCTTCAACAAGGGTGGATTTCCTCCCACACCTCAGATGGCAAATCTGAAACTCAGAGAGGGCTGGGGCCACAACTGGGAGCTGCCCACCCATTTGGGGCTCCCGGGACCCTGCCCTGCATGAGGGACAGCTCAGGCTTGGGCCTGCCTCTCCAGAGCCTGGTCCCTCCCAGGCTTGTCCCTGCACCCCCTCCCCCCCAAGGAAGGAGCTCCATGGGCCCCATCTCCCTCGCACAGAGGCTTCTTGCTCACTCCCATGGCCAGGCCCACAGCTGTGTGCACGCTTCACGGTCACCAGCACAGCATGGTGTGCACCTGGTCCCCCTGTCTGAGGAGGGGGCTGCCCTTGGTTGGGGGCCGAGTTTCCAAGTCTGTGTGCTGTTGAGCAGGGATGAGCTAGCTGGGGGAGGCCTGAGTTCCCTGTCCTTGTGCAGGGGCAGGGGCAGGGCCAGGGCAGCCATCCTAGTCCTCAGCTCCCCAGATGGGATCTTCCCCTGGAGCCACCCCAGGCCTGCCTCTCTGGGTGCCCTCAGGGTGTGGCTGGGGAGCCGGCGTGTCCTCGTGTCTGGCTCTGCATCACGGGCTGGGGCTGGCACGTAGCCCGGCCATTCCCAGCCAGCCAGTTTTGGCCTCATTCCAAGTGGCAGTCTGTGGCCCTCACTTCCCCCTTCTCCGTTCCACAGATGAGACGCCGAGGGAGATGTATTCCCTTTCCTTCTTAAGAGAACGTTTACTTAAAGCAGGAAGGCGGGAGGGAAGAGGGTGAGAGGGTGTCAGGCCTCCCTGGTCCTGGTGCTTGGGCTGCAGCAGGCTAGAGAAGAGCAGAGCTGAGCAGGACTTCCCCGCAGAGCACACTCCAGACAGGCTGGGAACTGCTGGAAATACCCCCCTCCCCGGAGCCCACGGAGTGACGTGCAGAGGCCTGCAGAGGCTGGGGGCATGCAGGGGCTCCCATCTATGCCTCGCTGTGCTCTGCCGTTGCTGGGCCAAGGCCAGGGTAGGGCTTAGAAGAACTTGAGAAGGTCCACAGAGCGGACCCTCTCATCCTGCAGGCCCCATCGCCCACCGCACCCTGCGCTGGTGTCCGTCTCACTCAGCTCATGTTGCAGAGGGGATGACAGAGGGTGTCCGGGGGCAGCCCCTGTGGATTCGTGAGGACAGGTGTGCGTGAGGTGGTGGCTTCTGGACCCTGGAGGGGGTGACTTCAACCCAGGCAGGGGGATATTTCAGCTCCCAGACCCTTGGGGACAGGGCACTGCCCAAATTGGGCCAGGCTGGGGGTCATGCTAGAGGTGGATCTAGAGGAAAGGACGGTGGCCTCAGTGGCTGACCTCTGGTCTTGGACAGCGCCGGTTTCAGGGTATGGTTGGGTGGTGTGCGACCCTCCTTGACACCTTCCTCCTCAAGCTCATGGGTATGCTGAAGAGGCTCTGGGGACTGGACAGAGGACAGAGAATTAGATGCTCTCGAAGCCTCTGTGCCTCCCCAAGCTGGCAGCCTGTTATTAAATAAGAAAAAGTCTCTGCCCACTGGAAAGTAATCAATAACTTTCCTTCTTTCCCCTGGGGGTGGCAGGATGTAAAGACTGGAAGAGCCAAGAAATGCCCAGGGCTGGGGCCATGCACAGTGCTGAGCGTGTGTCGCTGGTGTGTGCATGAGCTCTGAGCATGCGTGCTCTGAGCATGCACGGACCCGTGCATGCCTGTGCTCTGTTCTCCCAGCACCGGGCACCCGCAGCTCCACACAGTCACACCATGGGTGCAGGGGAGAGGAGAAATGGGCTTGAGGAAAATTTTGTCCACCAGAGCCTGTGGGACAAAGGGTCTGGGCTGGTCGGGCCCCTTGCCAGTGACCTGCAAACCCCAGGCCTGCCATTCGCAAGGGTCAGCAGGCACAACAGTCGCCCATTCCACAGGCCTCAAGCAGCCCCTGAGCTGGACTCTGCATAGCACTCACAAAATAGGAAAAGGACTTTGCTCGGTGATGTTGGTGTTAGTCTGGGGGTTCACACTGAACGTGAGTGGGATCTCCCAGCACGTGCACAGAGGTAACCGCACACCATGCTGGGTGCACGTACACCAGGACCGGCCCTCAGAGCCCTGCCCAAGCTGCATGCACAGACCCCAGGGGACGCTGGGGCCTAAGGAGGGAGCCAGCAGTGCAGGGGCCTCTGGGCCTCGGCCTGATCAGGGAGGCTGTGGTGGAAGGCTAGACCCTGGCCAGGTGGGCCGTGGAAGGCTCCCTGACTGAAGCCCTGCCTTTCAGCTCTTCTCAGTCTCTGCTCAGCTGTGGCTCCTGCTGACCCTGGGGCCCATCCTGGAGGCGGGAGGGTCTGCCAAGGCCGGGATGGAGACCCAGGAGGTTGGGCCTGATCCAACCAAACCTTCCTCTTCTCCCACCCCGCCCAGAACCGGGGCCGGCTGGCAGACAAGAGGACAGTAGCTCTGCCCCCAGCACGGCTCCTGAAGAAAGAGCGGACTGCTGGCTTCTCTGCCAGTGATGGTGACAGTGATGGCAGTGGCCTGGCCTGTGTGCGGCAGCTGGGCTTAAAGCAGGACGACCCCCACGTCCATGTCATGAGGAGAAGGTGCTCGGGCCAGGCCGGGGGCGCGTGAGCTCCGGTGCAGGGGGAGCTTGCTGGGGTGATCACGTCCACACCCGCTCCCACTGCCTTCCCTCAGACCTAGGGTCTTCCCAGGGATACTAACGAGCGGTGGCCGTTTGCAGGAGGCAGGTTGGCAGCCACAGGGACCCAGGCCCCCCTCAACCCTGGGCAGAATCTCAGCCATCTGAGCTGGTGGCAGCTGGGGGTTTGCTCCCTGACTTAGTCCCCTTCCAGCCAGAGCAGCTCCAGCAACGAGGAATTTGGTTTCGGTAGAATGAGTAGTGTGCAGAGGGAGCCCCAGTGCCCCCAGCACAGTGTGGGGGCTGCTCTGAGCTGCTGCAGCAGGAGGGAGGGCTACGGGGGCCTCAGTTCTGTTCTCCCCTATTCATCTGTCTGCTGAGGCCTGAGCAGCTCCAGCCTGGGGTCCTGTCCTGGTGGGAGCTGCAAGCAGGTTGAGCTGGTCCCAGATGGCGTGGGGCCCACAGCAGCCACCCCCGCAGGGCACTGGAGACAGGTCCACACACACTGCCATCCAGGTGCTGGTCCGGGAGCTGGGGTCAGTGGCTGCAGGAGCCCATGCTGACCTCTGCTTCCCTCCCCACAGAGTCCACACCCACTGGGACGTGAACATCTCCTTCCGAGAGACATCCTGCAGGTAGGAGTCCCCGCCTGGTGGGCTTGCCCTGACTTGAGGTCCCCCTGGTCTGCTTCCGGATCTCCAGCCCCCCTTCCTCCATCCCCGCTTCTGCCGCGCTCTGGTCCGCTGTCTGGTCTGCGCCGTCCCAGCTGGTGGGAGCGAGTGGGCCGAGCACCTCCCAGGTCTGATGTGTGCTGTGCGGTTCTGACCCCGCCGGGAGGTAGATGCCGTTGCGCCCAACTGAGCTGGAAGGACCCCAGGCTCAGCCAGAGGCAGGCTCGTGCCCAGGCCCCAGTGGCAGCACAGGAGTGGACTCTGGCCAGCCTAGCCCTGGAGCCAGAGCACACTCCCATCCCACATGGGACTGGCCCTCTGAGCCCATCTGCCCAAAGATGAGGCTGTGACCTCCCCATCTCCCTCCCAGAGACCCGCCAGGAGGTGAGAATGGTGATGTGCGGGTGGGGTCTTGAAGGACGTGCAGCAGTTCAGTAGAGAAAGGGGATGTCTGCAGACGTGGAGGAACAGGGAGAGGGGACGTGGGATGGAGGAGGAGGTGGACTTGGCAGGTCTGCTCTGTGGGATGCTAAAGGGCCTTGGATGCTTGGCCTGCTGGGCACTGTCCTCCAGGCAGGGGAGCCAGTGAAAGTTCTTGAGCAGGGGAGTGACTGGCTGTGTTTGAAAAGGTCCTTCCGTATCCCCACCCCGGCCAGTTGGGAGTTTGCTCTAGACCACGTGGATTCAGGCTGTGGAATCAGGTGGGAGGTGAGGGCCGCAAATCCAAGACACCACACGGAGATAAAAGTGAAGGGACTGGATGAGGAGGTGGGGCCAGCTCCAGAGGGGCCGAGAGGCAGTCCGGGAACAGAGCCCGGCTGTGGTTCCTGGTCTTACCCCATGGCTTCCAGGGGAGCGCAGCAGGCACGTGTGAGGGGCAGGGTCCCCTCCCTGGCCAGCCGCACAGCAGGGCGGGGGCAGGTCCCGGCTTGGCTCCAGATGTGTTATTATTTATGTCTCTAAGAACGTCAGATCCTGGAGCCAAATTACAATAAAAACATCTTTAAACTTATTTCTACCTCATTTTGGGGTTGCCAGCTCAACTGATCATTTTTATGAACCGTCATGAACATTGATGACATTTTATGGGCCTTTTACTTGGGACGCTACAGGATAAATTTGTCAGCGAGGCCTGTGGGGAGACTCAAAGGCTGTTCCTCCCGCTGCAGGAGCAGTTCCTCCTGCCTGCAGCCCCCTCCTCATGTCCACCTGGCCTTGGGAATCGGGCGGGGGCAGAGGGGCAGCTGTCCACACGCAGCCTGGGTGGCCCTACGAGAGGCCAAGTCTGCATTGCTGTGGGCTTTCAGTCCTGCACAGATCTTAGAAAAGGCTAGAAGGATTTCCTGGATTGTACCAAAGGAGAGATTGCCCTTAGAGGGGAGGGCCAGCTGGGGTCCCCATGGGAAGGAGCCTCCTGCCCTTGCCTGCCGACATAGCCCCAGCACCTGGCCATGCAGGGCTGTGGGCAGCAGAGCCCAGATGGCCCCCCCACCCTGCTCTGCTGTCTTTGTCTCTTCCTGCTGTCTGGTGCTGCCCACCGGTCCCTCGTCTCCAGTCTCCTGTGGGTCTGTCTGTCTGTCCAACCCCGTACCTTTGTCTGGCTGTGCAGTGGACCTCCTGGGAGCAGAGCTCCAGGAGCTACCCCTTCTGCTCCTGTGATCCCCCGGAGGGTGCTCCATGGAGCCCCTGTCTGCAGGCAGGGGACGTGGTCCCTGCCCTCCTGGGACCCCGAGCTGGGGGGACAGGGTCTGACCAACCAGGCTCCGGCTTCCCATGCACCCTCCTGCATGCAGCCCCTTCCTGGCTTCCTGCCTGCCCCCCACCCAGCTTCTCCTCACCCCACCCACCTCCCAAGACCCTCGTGGGCTTCATCCCTGGCGCCTGGTGGGCTGCAGAGGGTGTTTTGTGGCTGCAAGAACCTCGTGCTGTGGTGATGCCAGTGCAGGGTTCATGCGTCTCCGGTCTGGGCTGTGCCAAGTTTCCTGTGGTTTTTCACATAAAACCAGCATAATTTGTTCAGTGAGTGAGTGACGAAGTGACCAGAATAGGTGTTCAGGGGCCAGGCCAGGACGGGGTGTGGTGAGCAGGTGGCATCCTGATTCCTGCTCATCACCTCCATGGACTGCAGCACCGCACCCCAAGTGAGTACAGGAGCTGATGGCTGTCGTGTGATTGGTCGCGAGGCCTCGCTGTGCTGCAGGTGCCGAGTGGGGGCTTCACAAAGCAAACAGACCAGGCCTGCCCTCACCTGCCCAGAGAGAGAAGGGGGTCTCCCCGGGTGGCATGGGGAGCTCACGGCAGCCGCAGCCAGGCTGGCCCTTGGCCCGCTTCCCCGTGCTGAGGGCAGCAGTTCTGGCCCCGACACCCCCACGTCCGCGAGGGTGATGGAAGGAGTGAGACTCGCTGCCAATTAATCCCATAAGGTGCTTACCCCACCCCACCTTCCCAGCTGCGTGCACGGGATGCTTTCTTTCCTGGGGAGAGGGTGGGGGTGGGGAAGACCCGCATCTGGGTCTCCTGGAAGGCTCTAGAGTCTTTGGTGCTGAAACTGATCTGCTTAGGGGCAGCCCTGGATTAGCCCAGCTCCAGCCAGCCCAGGCCGGGGGGCTGGGGGCTATTTAACGAGGTTTAGGGTCGGTTCCCAGGTCACTGTGTGGCGGCTCCACCAGCATTAGCACGGCGGAGGCGGCTGCTGCGTTACAGGTGGGCCCAGAGGGCGCCCCAGGAGGGTGTGGGGCGGGGGGCCGGGCCCCTCCCACGCCCTCTCCGTGCTGGCTGCGGAGGTGCTCACAGGACCCGCAGAGAGAGAGGTGGGGGCCGAGCTCCACAGGCACACAGCAGCTGTGCCCCCTTCTCTCTGTGGCTCTGTGCTGTGGGCCCAGCTGACTTAGCAAAAAGAGAAACAGGGAGCAGAAGAGTTAAATATGTGTTTATTCCAAGTCCACTCTGAGGTTCTTAGCTGGGAGCCTCGGGACAGCAGGGTGTCCTGAGCACACCCGGCAAACCAGACTCTGGTCCACAGTGTGTGTTGCGTGTGTGTCGCGTGTGCATGTAGCGTGTCTGCTGGTGCTGTGTGCACACACATCTCATCAGCTGCAGGCCTTTGGCCTGAACCTCAGTCTCCTTATTTGAAGCTGTTGGGGGTTGGGGTGGTTGCTAGTTTTCATGGAAACAGCACATGCCGCGTTCTTGCCGAAAAGCTGGCAGCACGTGTAGGAAAGGTGTCCTTCCTGGCCCGTCCTGCAGGAGCAGGACCCCCCTCTGCCTGGTGAGCACCTGGTCGCCCTCCAGGTCAGGGAGCAGGGCAAAGCTGGGAGGAGCCGTGGGGCCGAGTGCCAGGTCCCCGTTGCCTGCTGGGTGGGTGTGCGCAGGTGCGCCTTGACCTGCTCGGTGGGGCCGCACACAGAGGTGCGCACACAGCACTGTGCACACTCACGCTTGGCCAGGCCCTCCCCGTGCCCAGGCCAGCACTCACCGGGTGGCTGCTCACAGTCCATCCTTCCTGTCTTGCTCTGCCGCAGCCAGGACAGCAACCTTCCCACCCTCATATCCAGCGTCCACCGCAGTCGCCACCTCGTTATGCCCGAGCTGCAAAGCCGCTGTGAATTCCAGAGAGGCAGCGTGGAAATCGGCCTGGGCCCGGCAGGTGAGGAGCCTGGAGTCCCGTGGGCGAACACAGGCTGCCGGGGCCACGGCTGCTCAGCCGAGGACAGCACGTCTCCGCCCCCCGCCCCCCCCCCCCCCCCCCCCCCCCCCCCCCCCCCCCCCCCCCCCCCCCCCCCCCCCCCCCCCCCCCCCCCCCCCCCCCCCCCCCCCCCCCCCCCC